TCCACCAAGTCTCGCCATGGATTCTCCTAAATTGAATTCTCAGCGCACATCCTGATGCTTGTCCGAAGAACTCTTGCGTAACATTTGAAAAGGGCCTATCCTCGTTGATCAATTCTCTTCATCGATTTTCTCTTTGGTTTACTACGGCAACATAAACGAATTTCTCGTTAAGCTCGTAGCACAGTTCGACAGAAGATGATGTTAGCTTGCACCTAAAACAACACACTGAATGGGAAATTCATTTGCAGTCGGGGTTATTCGTGAAAGAGTAAATCGATGAAGAGAATCGATCAACAATAATAGGCCCTTTTCTCGTGTTGCGCGAGAACTAGGTACATCATTCCGCGCCGGACTGCGTACAATCATTCCGACCACTCAGCATGAAGAAATTAGAACAATCGCTTGTATAGCAACATCCCGTTATCAAAATCGTTACACCCGTGACGGAAGTCGCGTCAACATTTCCCTCTCAGATGAAGAATAGCTGACAGTGGTATCTTGACCTGACCGAGGTTTCCGACCACGAACTAGCGATACAGCTCCCAGGGTTGCTTTCAATGCTGCTGATGCTGCTGGTCCGTCTCCTACAACATCGGTAATTCGTGTAGCCGTGGTCGACGCTGGAAATCTCGGTCCGGTCACGACAAGCGGTGCTTGAGTTTTAATCGGAAAGTCATTAACCAAACAAAAACTATATTATCCAACCATCTAGATAAACATTTCAAAAGGTACTATCTGCATTCATCGATTCTCTTCATCGACTATCTCTTTCGTTAATAACTCAATTTCAGAAGCATTCCTTGCTGTGTTCAAAGTTCTAATCACAAGACAATAACTTCTGCTATCAAACTGTGTGGCAAAAAGAGCACGAAATATGTTTGCGTAGGCGTGGTTACCAAAAGAGAAAGTCGATGAAGAGAATCGATCAAAGCAGATAGGATCTTTTGACATGTTCAACGAGATATGCGATGATCGATTCTCTCCATCGATTTTATCTTTGCATTGCTACAGCTAAGCGAAACAATTTTCTAGAATTTGTCCAATGCAGAGTTGTAACAGGTTGTATTGGCTGTACAGCAAACGCACCGAGAAACGTTAAATCTAGCGAGCTCAGCCCAGTGACAGCGGGCCCAGCACAGCAAAATAAATGATTTGAGCTCGGGACATGCTGCGTACCGTCAAACGCTGCTGTCACTGGTCTGAGCGAGCTATTAACCAAAGATAAAATCGACGAAGAGAATCGATCATCGCGTTTACGCCCTTATGCATGCTCACTGCCGATATAATGTTGCAGAACCGTCTTGGTAAAATCTCAAATAGTTCAATTAATTATTTTTACTCTCCTGCTTTTTTGCACTTCCAACTAACATAATAAGAAATTATAATTACGAATCATTACATTAACTACACAGAAAAAGGAAAATGCTTTCTTTTCTCAGAAAAAGCAGCTTACGCTCTTTCCATGCTTACGTGTTTTCGATGTTCTCGTTGCTCCACGCACCGTTCATCGTCTTGGAGGAGGAGAATCACAGCTTCATAATTAACGGGAATTTTGTGCCTGATGGCGTTCACCACCAGAGCTACGCTCGGGAACTCGACCAATCCGGAGGAGGAACTTTCCGATTTCAGCAGGAACATTCGCACTTGTGACGGGTGGCAGTCCTTGGTGGTGAATGCAGTCAGCAGCAGATCCTCGGACATGCCAGGTGGGATATTGAAGAAGTGGAGAATGCGATTTTTTCTGGCCTGGGTCAACGAAAGAAACCGATTGTTCTTGGACGCACTGTTGTCCTTGAAGCTGATCGAATTGTCCGGCAGAGTGTAGGGGTTGGTGGACTCTGCCAAGTAGTTCTGCTTGGAAAATGCAGTCTGAATATTGCTACCATCATTTCCGATTAGAATGTTGTTCAATTGCTGGATGCTGCGTTCGACTGGTTCGACTGCGATGGCGTCTCCCATCTGGACCATGGCGGTACCCTCTTTGGTCTTCAGGAAGTTTATCCTGACAACATTTCCGTACAGATAGAACAGATTGAACACCTTATCGGTGTTGGCTGTGTTGCTATCGAGTCCGTAGACCATCATCACTGCGCCCTGTTGGATGAAGTTGGCTGGTCCGTTTCGGGTCAGCGGTACGTCCTTCATCAGTCCAACGTGTGTTCCGACCGGTGTTGGTTTCCAGTTTTCGACGGATGATACTCGCGCGGTGAAAAATTCGGTGCAAATCCGTTTCCTTCACCGACTCCCAGAAGGGTTGGCTTAGGACCATGGTTGACTGATGATTGACGGTCGTTGTACGAGGTCGGCCTTCCACCGAAGAGTTCGTCCGTTGCAGGCATCCTTGGAGGCGGCTGCATCCAATGTGTAGTCCCAACTGGAGTCCGTGTCGTTTTTGTAAACATTGAAAAACAAAACAAAAACAAGAGTTGTTAAAATACCGGGATGCCAAACAAGGCATTATTCACAAGCAAACAAACGTCAGTTCATTGACTTCTCGGCACTGCCGGCACAGCTGCGGCACACTGAGAAAAAAGTTGGCACAGAATAAGTGTGTAGAGTGACCACCCCTTGATTATAGTTCATAATTTTCTTTAAAATTCCCTTGGACTATTCCTCAGAAATCTCTGGATCGTAGTGTGCTGTGTTCGAAGAGAAAAATGGAAAAATGTGAGCCATAAATTTTTTGCTCCGTTCTTTCGTGGTTTTTATTGAAGTTTTAATTAGTGTTCCTTCAGCCAGGCTGTTTGCTCTATTGGCCGATTGGGACATCTTTAACCGCCTATCATCATCACCGATCGGTTCGGTCGGCCTCTCGGGACCTAGCACCAACAGCCGGCCTTACTAGTTGTTCTTTCTGGCTATTTGTGATTCTTACGAGTGGGTCAGATCTTCCGATTAGCAGACAGAATCCATTCAACCACATGTCATCTTCATTGACCATTTCTGCTGGTATTGTCCACACACAATTTTTGGTTCGCTTGTATTCATCACTGGACGTAAGACGTAATCACCGACACTAATAGCGAATTCGTTTATTATTCAGTTCCAACCTGGATCGGGTATCAAGATTGGGTCTGCTTGTTTTCTGACAAACGTCAGTTTGTTCGTTTGTTTTTAAAACCTAGCTCAGGTTGAGGTTCACACTGACATAAAGTTCGGTTTCGCACTGGGTTGCAACTGGTGTTAACCCCGATAATAAACGAATTCACTATTAGAATCGGCAAAGCTATTTTCGTGCTCAGTCAACCAACCCTTGATTATGGAGATCACAATAACGTGAAATCATTTATGGATCGATGGTGATTATATGATAATCCTTATAATAATAGCCGGAGGTCCTAATAATGCGACCTGTTGTGTGATTTTGGGAGATGTCTCCATTGGAAAGAGATTCTCTATTCCCGAGTAAGAGTCTGCACTCCTCCGTGTTTGGCCCTTCATGCAGCTGTGAATTAACGAACAGATTGATCTATTAGGAGGATCCGCGCGTCACGGCTAGTGACTTGATAGTGGCTTTTCATCACATCACATCAAACACTTAACATTTTAATTTGTGAATCTCACGTTGAATACTTTGTCAATTAGCAAGAAATGTTCTATTAATGTGATTCCTTTTAGAGTCCACAAATGGCCGCCACGTAGGCTACACATGCACTTTCACTTCAAATTTTCAATTTCACAAATTTGGGAAATCAGTGCTTCTTTTAGTTTGAAATTGCTACTTCATGTATGCTACAGTGCAGCAAACGTGGAGTAACAATTGAAATGTTGCACGTGTCGTAGAAGCTGATATTTGTGCACTTAAAGTTTCGAAGTGGTTACGAGAATAAGGATGTCACAGCGAATCACCTTAACGTAAAAATTTGCTGTTTTCGTCGTCGTCATCATCATTGTCATTGGCAGTACCATTCGTATATTTAAAATTAACCATCAACGAGAAACTATATGAATTATCGCATATATCTGTCTTTCGTTACATACCAAGCGAAAACTTAATCGTATTTTGTCGTAGAGCGTTGTGGTTTTGAGATTCTCGATGACCCTGGAGCGAACGTTTTTGCATACTGAGCAGAAAATCAGGAGCGTAATCCTAAGTTCTCCCACAACAGAATAAAACGCCATCGCCGGGTGTATAGGGTATAAAGCGTCGTAATAACCATAAGTTTGCGATTATGGATAAACTGAACTCCTCAATGGCCATGCATATCGTCAAGGTAATTTTCCTCCATCCAATGGAGCGTTGCTCTAAAATTGCACATCGTTCAATGGGCCGTTTTGTTTGAGCTTGGCCATGAAAGCTATACATCTAACGATTTTCCTAGCCTATTATAAGTGTTGCTAATTATGGCATCTAAAAATTGTCCAAAATCCAGCAAAGTGACATGCTAATTTTGGCAAGTCTACTGTAATTTATCAAATTATTCATCGGACTCCAATGCAAGATGCAGGTCAGCAGATCTGTTGCGTAATTTTACGATTTTTGGCACAATTACCCGACAACGATGTGGAACATGTGTGTGTGTGCGAGTGTGCAGAAACTCAACATTATTCAGCAGTCCGATTCAATTGGCGATTTTATTTGGAGTCCCAGTTTTACCGATTTTGTTTTGTCCATTCACATGTGCATGCAAATCCATCAGTATAGTTTGTAGCTTTGCGTGGCACATGGAACTCTAAAAAGCGATTGTCTCGGTTCGGGAAAAGATGTAATTGGTTTGTTGGTTGGATGCGAAAACACCACCACAGCCAAACGACTGAGGAGATTGGCGGAGGAAAAGCGCATGTAACAATGCTAATCATCGAGTGGCTGCCGTTCTCCCTCGTCTCTTCGTCGGGGTTCGATTACGTCCGGTGGTCGGTGCCATCCAATTTGTAGGTCAATTGTTGCTCTCGCGCTAGTTGTTACGTTGTGCGAGCGGGTTTAATTGGAATGCGCGTTGAACAGGGTTATCACATAGTTTATAATGAAGACTGATTTAATCTTTTCCTCTCGTTTGCAGGTACAACACTTGGAGGAACGCAACCGACGTAGCATCCACAAATCGAGGCCATACTTTGAGGAGAAGCAACTATGCCAGGAACAGCTGGAAGCACAGAAAGGCCGTATCCAGCAGCTGGAGGATCAGATCGCTGCTGCCAAAACTGCCTACGGGACGGCTCTGCGGAATTTGGAGCAAATCAGTGAGGAGATTCACAAGCAACGGGGTGACCTAAGCCTTGCAGCTCCGTCCGGTCCCCGGGAGCCCGGCGTGGGAGCCGAACTGTCCAACCTGCCTCCGTCGTCGAGTTCGATGAAGCTGAGCTCACCTGGTGCAAGTAGTTGCTGTAACTACAGCAACTTCAGCTGTAATATGCCGGACATATCGACTGAGCTGGATAAGTGCGAGATTCACTCGGTGGGAAGTACCTCGTTGGCAACCAGTTCTGCCGTCAGCGAAAAGGATCCAACCGAGGATGACTACATGAACGATGCGGATCTTAATCTGGAACTACTCCGGCAGAAAGTGAAAACACTAGCCGTCCGTCCGGTTGAAGGTGGCGATGGCCAACAGCAGGAACAGGATGTTTGGGAGCATGAACTGAACGCCACCGTAGATAAGCTAGACCACCTGATGATGCTGCGAGAGTGCTCTGCCAGTAGTATAAATGGTGCCTCGCTCGGCGATAGCAGCCAAACCAACAACTACGCCAGTCTGCCAACCACTCCAAAGCACCACCAGCAGCTATCACCCGTGTTGGCGGAGAAGCAAAAAATTAAAATGTTCAAAAAATTGGATCCCCTTCCGCTTGCAAATGTCTCGATGTATGCGCTTCCAACCTACCTTAGCAGCAGCGGCAGTGGGATGACCCCCACCTGCTCAGGTATTCCTTCAGTTCCTATGGGATACAATGATCTAGTGACGCCCCGTAACGAAACCGTTGCACCCATTCTTGGGTACAAGAGCAAACGGAAGATGTCCATGTAAAGTTTGTGGTAACTATAGTTAGCTGGTAAGCAAATCGACTGACAAAAAAGACGGGGACCGAATGCTTGATTCAGAGAATCGTACTTGGGATGCTATCCGGATTTCCGGGTAGGGTGGTGGTCCCCCCTCCGCTCGTGTGGTCGTGTCATAGTAACGTTTATGTTTATTTTTTACAATATGATAGGTTCATTCGCTTCGTGCTTTTTCGTGTATTTTGTTCATTTTCTACGTTTTACTAGGAATAACGAAATGGTAACAAACAGTGAATTCTGAAGTAGGACAAATGAGACAGTGGATATGGTAGATGTGAGTAGGAAACCAATCTCGTTAGGAGATGTTGGTAGGATCTTAAATCGGTCAAAACAAATCTGAATGAATAACGGTAGATGTAGGCTTTGCCTCTAATTTTAGAGTGCTGCTCATTTTTTTTTTATCATTTTGCACACATTGTTTTGCCGATTTACTGTAACACACAAGCAATGTGATAATCTTTTGATCAATTGGCATTTATAAGCTAGAATTGCTACCGTATTTTCGTTTGCATTGCACAATCTGAGTCACGGTTTGTAGGGTTGTTTGATTTTGTAACTGATCGAATATTTAAATACAGTGGGAAGCGACAATTATCCGGAACAACTCAATCTTTCGGTAATCGAAACGGCAAGCGTAATATGTCGGATAACTGAAGCTCAACTGTTCATGTTTTTCCTTGTTATGAAAAATTCTAACTTCGTTTTGCGTTTCGTGTGAAAACAATAAAAAAATGTTACCTTAGAAAGCAGAGCCATGCTAAACTAGAAAACAAGAAGAGAAATCATACACATTATTCATCAGTACAAACTCAACATGTATACTAAAAATATACATCCGTAAAACTACATAAAACAATTAAAAATGACTAGAAATACTATATTTTCACCGTCACCTGATTTTAAACTAATTGTTTGAAATAATTAAATAGTAGGGCAAAGCACTGTTATCGATATCATACAGACCACTGTAGTAAATCAGCTTTTGAATTCGGATAGATGGTTCCATTGAAGTGTATAAAAAAAGCTTTATTAAAATATAAAACTGTATTGGTCAGTTAAGTAAATCAACTAATGTATGAGAACAGTAGAAAACTGAAACTATAGTGATTATCTCGGGACGATTTGTTTTGAGATACAGCACACACTGTCTCGTAACAATGTGAGTTCAGAAATTCAGATGTTTAATGAAAATCTATCAGAGAAGAGTTTATTTAGTGCAAGAGAATAATCAAGTGCAGCAGTTTTTGCCTTTTATTTTATTGCACATAGATGAAAAAAAAAAATGGAATAGTTGAAATGGTTTTGAACATTTAACAGACTTTAATAGCATTAGGTTTAACATTGAAAGGAGAGATGTTTTGGTTTGGTTTGTGGATGACCTACCTTAAATCTGTATGGGTTTTCTGCAAGGAGAACGAAGCATACTAACGGAAAGTTTTATTAACCCATCTGAATGAGAAATACAAACTTAATTAATGCGTAAATACCGAGAGTGAAGCTTAGCGACGAAAATGAGTTGAGAAATCCATTGTAGAATTAAAAAAACCTACGGTTATAATTTTATTTTATTTTAACTTACTTTCATCTAGCTTGACGCTTTAATGAAATGTTGCATGATGAGGAAAAGCCCTTTTCAGTAGGTTGTTTTGTTCTTTTGTTCCAGTCATATTACAAAGATAATTATATTGAACAGTTACATAAATTAAATTGGTTCATGCTGCAACATCTCCCGTCCAGCACCAAAGACGAACTGCTAGGCCTAATAAATAAAATCTGGATAGAGAACACCCTGCCAAAGGAATGGTCCCACAGTCTGGTAGTCCCCATCCCCACCCAAGTGGCCTCTACTACGGAAAACTTCCGTCCGATCTCTCTGACTTGCTGCATTAGTAAAGTCATGGAACGGAGGGTCAATCGCCGTCTAATTCGCTTTCTCGTGGACAACGACCATTTCGACCACCGACAGCATGCGTTCAGATCCGGTCAAGGCACCTTAACGTACTTTACTGGCCTGGGCGATGTACTTCAAGAGGCGATGGATGAGGAACTCCATGTCGACATAGCAGCCCTGGATTTAGCTAAGGCGTATAACCGCGCCTGAACTCCCCAAGTCATCAAACAGTTGGCTGACCAGGGTCTTTTTTACACAGGGGGGAATCTGCTCCCAGACACCTGAGAAGATAACTCAGGGTGTGGGGATGGGAGAAGTAGCGCTCCCGACCCACTAAACCTTACCCTCTGCTCTTGAACCTTGCCCTCCCCGGAACCGCTCGAAAGCATTACATCATGGGAGGGGGCCGGTTGCGCTATGGCGCATCGCTAGTGGCGTATCACAGACGTGACACTCGCTACTACACAGTGAGCAGCTTTGCAGGGCCTTCCTGTTATCGTTCGCCGTTAATTGTTCGCCTGAGTTCTAGAGCAGACGTGGCAGCAAGCCAGCTGTCCACGGCGGGACAGGACATACGTGACTGCGTACCAGCTGCGTGTGTTGCGACTTGGTCAGAACCCGGTGTCACTCCTGCCTTTGCACAACGAGGGTTTGTGCAGGGCTTATCGACCTCCTGGGACGAGCTGGATGGGGCTCCAGCGTCATTACTCTGTTGTAGTTCGTTTAGCCGCAATATCTCTCCCTTGGGTTCGATAATTAACGTTTCCAGGAGGAGGCGAACTACTTCATGCCCCTGGCTGACTGGGGTCTGGATGGCCACATTCTATACTTTGTAAAAAAATCCTTTGCGGCAGAAGCTTTCAGGTGATGATCGGAAACCACCGCTTCTCAACCCGGGCGGAAGAAACTGGAATCCCACAGGGATCCGTCATAGCGGTCACCATCTTCTTGGTCGCCATGAATGGAGTCTTTGGGTCCTACCAAAAGGAATATACATATTTGTATATGCAGACGACATCGTCATGCTGGCTATCGGACGCACCGTCAAGGCTTTGCGAAGGAAATTACAAGGTGCTGTATCAGCCACCACAAGATGGGCCTGTAGGGTCGGCTTTGAATTATCCGCAGAAAAGAGCGTGGTTTCCCACCTATGCCACTCCCGTCATCGCCCGCTACTAACAGCCATCGTTGCGAACAATATTCCAATATACCCAACAAGAAGACCATCCAGGTTCTTGGTGTACGCTTGGACCGGGAGCTGAGGTTCGACGCACATTTCAATGAGATCAAAGCCAACTGCTGCACGCGGTTAAATCTCCTCCGAGACACTTTCCAAACCACACCGGAGCAGTAACAGAGAGTGTGCGGTGCACATGTAAACGGATCCGGGGCGAAAATTAACTAGGACGATCCAACTTGGCAAAACAACAATTTCCCAACCTACAGCGTCGGGAATAAAGGCAATAGGGTGTCCGATAGGGAAGTCGAACCGGTGTTCACACTAGATTACCACGGGTGGGGTCCAGTTGTGAATCGGATCGATCGGACGGGACGCTATTGACCTTCCTGTTGGCTCCAGGTGCAACGGCTAGAATGTGGACTGTATGGCAGCGAATATCAACAGCAGCGATCGTGTGCTCCAGTGGCAATGGACATGAGGATGAAATTATGCTCGTTTGGTGATGGTTGAATATTAATTTATTTGATGTTTCTCGTTCGGCAGTTACAATAATAGTGATGCGCTTCGCGCGAAATGGTTTGCTTTTATACATTTTTATTTTCTGCATTCGTACCGCTGTGTAAAGTTGACTTCTCGTTCTTGCGTGGAATTGACGATACTGGGAGGAGTCTGCTTCGCTTCACAACAGTGCAAATCGTTTATGTAGGGGAGTGTAGGGAGAATTAATACATAGATTAAACGTTCGGAACCGAACATTCTCCCGCCGGCATGTTATGTGGGTATGTAGATGCTAGTGCTTGATTGTTCTCTTCAATGGGAAGTGGTGCGACTTTAGAAACTGGACGACGGTATACCCCAGCAGATGTTTGCACGTCTACTACTCTAACTACTGAATCCTTGCCAGGATAAACCTTCAAAATCCTGCCCAATTTCCATGACTGTGGAGGTAAGTTATCTTCTTTAAGAAGGACAATAAGACCAGGGACAACGTTACAAGAACCCTTCTTCCATTTGGTGCGAGCTTGTAGCGTATTGAGATATTCGGATGACCAACGTTTCCAAAAATGTTCTCGAAGTGACTGTAAGTATTTCCAACGGGTCAAACGGTTTACAGGGATTCCCTCAAGAGTAGGTTCAGGAATAGCAACCAATTCTCGACCAATAAGAAAGTGGCCGGGTGTTATGGCAGATGGTTCATGGGCGTCTAACGAGTTAGCGAAAAGTGGACGTGAATTGAGTACTGCTTCTATCTGCGTGAGAACAGTGTAGAATTCTTCGAAATTGAGAGAGGCATTGGTCAGAATTTTACGCAAATGGGTTTTTGTACTCTTCACCCCAGCCTCCCACAATCCTCCAAAATTGGGTGACCGAGGTGGAATGAATTTCCAAACAATTTCGCGGGCACAACAGAACTCATTGATTTTTCCTTTCGCTTGATCATCCTGGAACATCAAAAAAAGTTCGTGAAGATCGGATTTAGCACCAGCAAAATTTGTGCCATTGTCGGAATTGATTTCTTCCACTAGTCCCCGACGGCTGACAAAACGCTGTAATGCAGCTATAAAAGCTACTGACGACAAGTCGGAAACTAATTCCAAATGAATTGCTTTGGTAGCAAGGCAAATGAAAATACAAATATAGGCTTTTGTTCGAACGGTTTTTCGTAGACCGACCTTTATGAATATCGGTCCAGCAAAATCTACGCCGGTGTGAGAGAATGGAGTGGAAGGAACAACACGTGCTTCGGGCAAACTACCCATCAAAGGCTGTAGAAAACGAGGGCGAGAACGGAAACATGTCACACATTTTCTCAATACCTTACGAATGGTAGACTTAGCGTTGATTAACCAAAATTTCTGACGTAGAAGCGACATTAATCCAGACGGTCCTAGGTGAAGATTTTCCAAATGCATATCACGAATGAGAAGTTCACTAACTATGCTCTTATTTGGAAGCAAAATTTGATGACGAGCTTCATACGGCAAACGGGAGTTATCCAACCTACCACCAACTCTTATTAAACCGTCCACAACAATAGGATCCAGCATCGCAAAACGACGACTAGGCTTTCCTGACGAAATAAGGCCTTTTTCGTCCGGCATCTCAAGACGTTGAACTAACCCAATCACAACAATCATCGACCTTCGCAATTCGGGAACAGTCAAATGAACGGAAGACACACGGTTTGCACGGTTTGATCTGCAATTGTTCGCAAAGCGTAATACATAACCAATCACTCTTTGCAATTTTCGAAATGAGCCGAAAGCTTCAAGAAACGGAACATCTTGCAGAACAATGGTAGCAGAGACTACTGGCATGCTCGGACAGAAATCGGGTAAATCAGATTCTGGGAGTAGATCCGGAGTTGCGAATTCACACTGACGCATTTTCAGAAATGATGGCCCACACCACCACAAATCATTTACTGCAAGATACTGTGGCAGCTGTCCTCGGGACACAATGTCGGCTGGGTTTTCGATAGAACGAACGTAATGCCAGGAATAATCGACGGTTGCAGTATTGATTTCCGTTACACGGTTGCGGACGAAGACTTCAAGCTGGCTGGAAGACTTTTTCAACCAGGCGAGTACAATACGACTGTCGGACCACAAATACACGCGATTTATGTCCATTTTTAACGACGAGATGCATTTGGGAACCAATTTTGACAACAATAAGGCGGCACATAATTCCATTCTAGGGATCGTCAAAGGTTTCAAGGGAGCAATTCTTGATTTACTGCATAGCAACGAAATTTTTACATCGGTATCAGAAACAACTCTCAAATAAACAGCTGCTCCGTAAGCACGGTTGGAAGCGTCAGCGAACCCATGTATTTCGACGAATTTAACGTCCGTCAATCCCACGTAGCGGGGAATCTTGACCATATCAATATACTTCAACGAATCTCTAAACGTAAGCCAAGATTGCAAAACTTCACCTTCCAATGAGTCATCCCAACCCAAACCATCTTTCCACAAACACTGCATGATTTCCTTTGCCAAAACAATCACCGGAGCAATAAGACCCAAAGGATCAAATATTCGAGCAATCTCAGAGAGGACAACTCGCTTGGTTGAGATAGGCGACGACTGTAACTTCAATTCGCAATGGAAACGGAAAATATCCTCATCTGGATCCCATAATAGACCCAAGGTTTTGATAACCTTGTTGACATCTGAATCCTCAAACTCTAAGAACCTTTCTCGGTCTTCTTCAGGCACTGTATCGAGTATGGCTGGGTCACTTGCACACCATTTATGAACAGGGAAGCCTCCAGAGTTCAACAAGTTTGTCAACTCCAAACGAAGATCAATTGCCTGCTCGATGGTATCAGCTCCTGATACCACGTCATCCATATAAACATCCTCTTCTAAAACCTTGGAAGCTATTGGAAAATTGTGAGATTCATC